CACCTAGTTGGGTTGGAAAACTATATGGGTTTGGGCCCAATAATATGTTGAATACATTGGGCCAAGGATCCATATCTTGGTTTGGGCCTTTTATACCAAAAGATGAAGAATGTTATATGCTATTTTGACTAAAAAAAAGGAAAAGCTACCTAATTACACAAATATTCCTATTATATTTACTAATTCTCCTTTTGCTTGAAATAATTATATATTGTCTCACTAATTAATATTTTTATATCAGATACACCTAGATACATATAGTTTGCTACTTGATACACTCTGAAATACATATACATAGGGAGATAGGCGAGTAAGATAGGAGGTAGACGAGCGAGAGAGTTAGTGTATCTCAGATACATGTGAAACATACTAGATACATGTATCTAAGATATATATACTATATACATTCTGAAAATATAGATACATAGAAAGAACTGTGAGAGAAAAAGGGAGAGAGGCGAGTGTGAGAATCAATGTATTTTCTATACATATGAATTCACTTAAGTACAGTGTATCTAAAACAAATAACATTTACCTTCATAAAATAAATTATCAACACATTTTAAATACTTTTCAAAAGAATTACACAACACAAAATAATTATCTTTTTTCTATTATTGTATGCTTAATAATCCAAACAGTAACATGTCTAATCACATGCATCTTTCTAATCATTAAATTTAATCTTATACTAAAATGTCCTTTATTTATACAAATATTATTAAAAATTGTTTTGTCTGTTTGTGTACTAATAAGTTGATGATGCATAAACCATGTTGTCGTTTTTTGTTTACATCCACTGAATCATGTGATATATTATTATGTTATATAGTATTTAATTAACTTTAGGTGGAGACTTTTCAGACAATTATGTCGGAAAAAAAGGGTGATTAATTAGTTTGACTAAACAAAATAATGACCATCATGTGATATAATTATTAGTTAATTAATCCTTTTTGTATAAAGAGAAATTAGCACTCATAGTTTCTTGAAATATCGATAAATTTTAATTTTGATCTTTGTAATATCTTATTAAGTGCATTTTGTATATGATTAATTGATATGTGCTCTTTTGATCCTTATGACTGACGAAGTATTTTAGTTATGGGGTGATATTTTTATTTTATTTTTATTTATTTTCATGCTTCTTTTTATTACTATTTAAATATTTTTGTTGTTGACTTAACTTAGTCTGTTTATGAATCGAAAATTTATCTACATTATAAGCTTCTCGATTTGACCTGATTTGTCGTGATATCATCCTTAGAATACGCTTTGATGTTAATTAATATTAATTCTAAACTTTATTTCTTAATTTTTGGTTTTAAGTGCTAAATTATTCAACTATTAACGTATTATATCAAATTTTATATTTTACTTCATATTCGAGACTGTAGTGTTTTAAAAAACTATGTTGGGACTCGCCTCAGGGCTCGCCCTGGGGCGGGACTCTAGCAAAACGCCCTGAAACTCAATTGTGGGACTTAGTTCTGTAAGACTTACACCCTAAGCGTCCGATTATACGCCCTAAGCACATCCAACGTCCAACGCTCGGGGCTCGCTTAATAGATCTTACACAAATTATGTGTTAAAATTTTTAGTTAACATTGTTGACCCTCATAATTTTTGAATAATTGAATGATACTTAATAATTTTTTAATCTATAGAGATAAGAAGATTGTGAGTAACTCAAATAACAAGTTGTAGTATCATATCTTTACTATTTTGGTAACATTGTGCATGTACTTATTTAGTACGTAACATTTCATTTAAAAATACATAGCAAAATTTTACTTTTTCACTTATCATTGGTCTTCATAGTTTTGTCATATTTCTCAAAATTATCACATTTTGTTTAGCTATTTGAAGCTAATTTGATTTTTACATGATAGAGTGATGTTTTATTATAATAGTAGTAAGTTTTATAGATTATTTTCTTTTAGGACGAGAGGGGGGGGGGGGGGGGGGGGGGGGGCGTAAATTGTATAGTATAATAAAAAAAATATTTTTAGAAATAATGATTCTTTTATTATTAGAAGTTTAAGATATTAGATTATTTATACTAGTATAATCATGTTAGAAGTTTTATTTTCTATGAGTTTCCTTAATTATGTTTGTAATATTGATGTATTTTTATAATTTTGTGTTATTATATTATTATACTATATTGTAAATTAAAAATTTAAAGATCCGTAGGACTTACGCCCCACGTCTCAAGGCTTACGCCTCGCTCTATACTAAGTAAAACGCCTCGCCTCGTCTCACGCCCCGCCTTTTAAAACACTATTAGAGAGTAATATACTTTTCAAAACATACATATCATTTAGTTAATAAAAAAATATGTACTTAAGTAAATAATATAAGGATCGAAATGATTAAAAATATATCGGCATCGATATTAAAAAAAGTGATATAAAATTATAATCCCTTGTGTAAACATTATGCTCTTGTTATCTTCTTTGACATTTTTTTGGTAAAAAACATTATTTAATTTATAATGTAATTAAGCTACTTAATTAACTAATTATTAAAGTACAGATAGTAGTTATCTGTTTACATAGTTATCATATAAAAAACACAAAGGCCAACCTTGAGACAGTGTTTTGCTTCACATAAAAAAAGAACTAAAGTTTAGGGTCAAAAAGTTTGAATTGTCGTCTTCATGTTTTCCTATTTTAATATTCCATTTTGAAGGTATTTTTGGTATGGAAGAATATTGTATAGGGCAAAAATAAACAAGATACGTTGTTAAATTAATTGAAAATACGTCAAAAGTAAAAAATGTAGTAGTTAGACATCAAAGAAATCAAGTACAATTCAATCGAAAAGAGTAAAATCGAATCAATGTTCGAAGGAAGAGTCAACGAACAACAACTCTTATAGATTAGTTTCGAAGACTACTTATTCGATGTAAATTAAGAAGGAATGATTTTTGTGTGATTCACTCCTTGAAAAAAGGCTTGACTTGACGTTCATGTTGAAAAATATTCATTTACTTCTTTGTCTTCTCTTGGTGTTCAGTAATCACAAGATGTTTCGAATAATGACGCATCTTTATTGAGAATACCTTCAAAATAATGATACCTCTAGAGTCAAGACTATTTAGACCTTAATCATGAAGAATTCCCAATTAATTACACCATAAGGTTCCTCAAATCAATCTTCATCAAATATTTGTCAAATTTATTTCACTTTCAGAATTATGATTTTAAAATTCATGAATATTTACTAAAATGTTAATAATAATTTTAACATATGAATATACCTGAATCGTATAAAAAAACTAAATTCAATTAAATTCGTAATAAATATGTTATATTCAGCTTTATCTTCACATACATTGTTATCATTTATCACACACAACTATAAATATTTATACATTTTAATTTATTACTTATAATCATAATATATTAAAATTATTTTTCTGTTAATATTTAATAAAAATTTATTACTCTACCCCCGTTGGCCTATTTGTAGTCACTATCCTTGCTTCATAATTGAATTTTCTGCCCTCCCAATTCCCATGCAGTAGATATCGTGGATAAACTCTTCACCCATTATATCTACCAACCATATCCTATAAAACAATTAAATATATTTATTGTATAATAATAATAATAAAAATAAATAAAATTCATAAGTAAGATTCGAAGAGAATCATATATGCAAATTTTAATCTTATATTGTGGTAATATAAAGACTGTTTTCAATAAAAATTTGATTAGGAAGAGATGAGAAAAAAACAACAATGACAAATATTATCTTATTAGAATATTTTATTATTATATATATAAAAGGAGTAAAAAAGATCATATTATAATTCAAATGACCCAAAATAGAAACTTAATTAAGATTTTTTCTTGTCTTAATTTTTTTTTATTAAATTAATTTAAATTTCCAAAAAGAATCTGAATCATCTGCAAGACTATAGACCTATCCTACTCCTACTCCACTCTTCTTGAGCCCTCATCCAAGCATGTGGCAACTCTTTCCTCATTCAAAAATATATTAATATAATATTTTTATCGTGATACATTTTTTAAAAATTTGTTTCAAATCAAGAATATTTGTTTATATTTAAAATAAATTTTATTTCTAAAAGCTTACATACTCTTAATAAGATTACTAAGAGCCAAAAGTAGAACGAGAGGGATTCAAGAGTTCATCTAAATTCCTTCACATTATCTTTTTAATGTTATATATATATATATATATCAAATTTCTTTTATTTTTTTCATGTGTTTATTTTTTTTAACTTTGAATTTTGTTGGTAAAATTTTGACCTCGTTACAATTTGAAGAGTCACAAAAACATTTAAGATTTGCTTTAGACATATATATATATATATTTTTTTTGCATCTAATCAACTAGCGCTATATAAATAACTTCAACATGTTAAAAAGATAAACAAAAGATGGAAAAATTTCAATTTTGTATTCTCTTTTTTGGATAGTTTTGGACTTTGCTTTATTTTAAGTCGATGTTCTATCAAAAAATAACCTCATTATCTTTAGATTAAAGTCTATGCACGTACACTCTATCATTCTCATAACACATTCGTAGAATTATATTGAATTTTTCGAATAGTTTTGACTTAGTTGTATTTTAAGTTGATGCATTATTGAAAATAACTTTACTATCTTGAGAATAAGGTCTACGTACACTCTATCATTATCAGAACATGTTTATGAAATGACACTGAATATGTAATCATCAATATTTGAAAATAAATATCATTTAATAATTAAAAAATTGAAATAGGAAAGCATAGTTCCCTCTTTTCAGGCTCACATGCAACACTTTCCCTTTTTGAGTCTCCCCACCCCCTACACAAAAATGGTTACCCTCAATAACCTTTTTTTGATTTCTTGTTACTCCAAAATTTCCCCATTTTTCACAATTTCTCTTTCACTCTAGAGGTATTAACAAAGAGGAAAAAAGGGTCTTTTTTTTTCTTTTTTCTTTTTTTTTTCCATTTTTCTCATTTTTTTTGTTTCTCTAAAGATAGTGTGGTTTTATTCCCTTTTTACATGAAACAATTTGTGTCCCCCCTTTGCTTGACTAGTGGGGTTTCTATACTTTTAAATATTTTTTGTGTATTTTTCTTCCTTTTTGATTCTTGACTCAGTTTTGGGTTTTGCTTTATCAAGATTCTCCCAAAAATTACTCATAATTTCTTTATAAAATTCTTGATAAAGAATAAAAAGGGAAAAAAAAGTGTTCCCTTTTTGTTTCAAGATTCTTGCACCACCCCACATGCATGTTTTTGGGGTTTGTCTGATCTGGATCAGATCACCAAGATCTCTCATTTTTATTTATGTGTAAAGAAGGGGGGGTTATTTGGTGGGTTCAGGAGCTAAGGGGTGTGTGTGCCTTTTTGGTTAACCAATTTTGGGTCTTTTCTGTGCTTGTTTGAGAACAATAAGGTGTGATTTCTTGACTTTTACTCTTTGGGTCCCTCTTAAAGATTCTATACTCCTGTTGTTTGTGGTAAAAATCTATTCTTTTCTGAGTTTTGTATTGTTTCTTGGTTTTAAATGGTGTAACTTGAACTGGGTTGGAATGATTTTGGGGAAAGACTTTGTATGAGTTATTGTCTTGTTTTGTGTTAAGGGTGTTGGGAGAAATTGGTACATGTTGTTGTTTAAGTGGAAAAAATTGAGTCTTTTAGGGGATTCTGTTTAGTGGTTTGATTTTGGGTGGAGGGTTGTTGGTTTACTGCTTTTGCTTGTTGATTGCTTCCTGTTTTTTGATGATTGAGTTGGGTTTGGCAGTGTAATTGTAGTGTAGGGTGTTGCCTTTGAATACTCTACTTCTGAGGTATGGCTGGTATTGATGTTTCGAAATATGCACATAGCCCTGTGCATAAAGGTATAGTCTTGAAAGATTATGCTTCTTTGAGGAAGATAATTGCTGCGTTGCCTCGGCTTTGTGATCCTGCTGAGATTCATACTGAAGCAGTATCGCTGGCCGAGGAAGCTAAGGCTGATGCTATTTCTGCAGTGATTGATCGACGGGATGTCCCTAACCGGGATAGTCCTCTTCATTTGGCTGTCAAACTTGGTGATGAGACTGCAACCGAGATGCTTATGCTTGCTGGTGCTGATTGGAGCTTGCAGAATGAACATGGATGGAGTGCCTTGCAGGAGGCAATATGTAATAGGGAAGAAAGGATTGCGAAGATCATAGTTAGGCACTACCAGCCTTTGGCTTGGGCAAAATGGTGTAGAAGGTTGCCCCGGTTGATTGGGACGATGAAGAGGATGAGGGATTTTTATATGGAAATAACATTTCACTTTGAGAGCTCTGTTATACCTTTCATTTCTAGGATTGCCCCTTCAGATACATATAAGATTTGGAAGAGGGGTGCTAATTTAAGGGCTGATATGACACTGGCTGGCTTTGATGGCTTCCGCATTCAGCGATCAGATCAGAGCATTCTTTTCCTTGGTGATGGTTCTGAGGATGGTAAAGTTGCTCCTGGATCACTTTGCATGATCTCACATAAAGAGAAGGAAATTATGAATGCTTTAGACGGTGCTGGTGCTCCAGCGACTGACGCAGAAGTTCAGCAAGAAGTTGCTGCGATGTCTCAAACTAACATATTCAGGCCTGGAATTGATGTCACTGAGGCAGTTCTGTTGCCACAAACGACATGGAGGCGCCAGGAGAAAACAGAGATGGTAGGTTCTTGGAAAGCTAAAGTATATGATATGCATAATGTGGTTGTGAGCATAAAATCAAGGAGGGTTCCTGGAGCTATGACGGATGATGAATTTTTCAATTCTTGCAATGAAAATGAAGCAGAGAGTGAAGAGTTTGATGATATCCTGACAGAGGAAGAAAGAAGGCAGCTTGAGGTTGCTCTCAAGTCAGACTCTTCAGATTTAAGCAATGAGAATGGAGATGGGATCATTCCACATCGCCATAGTTGTTATGAACAAAGAGATATTCCCATTGAGGAGTTAAATGGTTGCAGAAATGACGATAATAAGCAGGAAAAGAAGAGGTGGTTTAACAGCTGGAGGAAACGGGATATTAAGCCAGAAGGGGAGAAACGAGTTGTCCCACCAAGAAGTTCCATATGTGTTGAGGAGAAGGTTGGCAATTATCTTGAGGGTTCTTCACCTTTAAATGAAACTAGGCCAGGGAGGCATTCTGTGGATGTCAGGGTGACGAGGGATGAGCTTAGACAAGGAAGGGATGCAAAGGCTTCTACATCTAGCAATGCTGAAAATGGAAATCGGCGTAAAGATGGAAGCCGAGAAAATGAGTATAAGAAAGGACTGAGGCCTGTTCTTTGGCTTTCTCCAGATTTCCCGTTGAGAACCGAAGAGCTCCTTCCTTTGCTTGACATTCTAGCTAACAAAGTTAAAGCTATCCGGCGGTTGAGGGAAATTCTCACAACAAAACTTCCAAAAGGAACCTTCCCAGTAAAGGTATGCATCATGCACTCGCGGTTAAATTTGATTCCTAGTTCAACACTCATGTGATTTTGAATTATTGTTAGGTTTGACCAGTGATATGTTTGTATTATAGTCCTAGCTGATACATATATGTTCTCCATGAGCAAGAAACAAAAGAGTTTTAAAACCTTAAAAATAGTAAATTTTGGTTTTCTTTGTGTTCCACTTTGTATTTTGATCATGCTCTTGAACTAGAAGTTGCTAATCGTAATTATATATTTTTATATTTAGTAAACTGTCAATGTCCTAATGTAGGATTCATTTTTACAGTTTGTTGAGAATATAGGTCATTGAACTAAGGGACTATTTGAAAATCTTAATTGTGGGAAGAAAATGTTATAGAGTCTGAACTCTGGACCATGATAAAGAAATAAAATATTGTAGACATTAATCTCCACTGCTGGTGGAAGGGAATGTTAAAGGAAGATTGTATTAGGATAGTTGTAGACAGCATATTTTTAGGAAGGTAACAGTAAGGTGGAGATAACCAGATGGCTCCTAGGATCTCTAAACTGATGGGAAAGAGATACTTTCTTCTTTTGTCTAATATCTAATATTTGCGACAACCAGCATGTTGTGGTTATTGAAGGTTAGCCATCCAATCTTTAAGAAATATATATATAAATGTAACAGGAAACTGGATATAAAAGTTTGCAGTTGCAAAGAAAAATCATCTTTCCGTTATAGAGGAAATAGTTCACACAGTTATGGAGATTAGGGTTTGGCTTAACTAAATGTTGTCCATAGGATAAGTTACTTTCTTTAAAAAAAGGAACTTTAGACATGATGACCTTTAACCCTTCGGAAACTCCCTTCGGATTTATTGGCTTAGCTGACTTGGCTCTGAGAAAAAGGCTAGAGGTGATATTCTGGCATGCTATAAGAAATATGGGTCAAATTAGGCAAAAAGTTGATTTTTTGAGCAGATTTTAGATTGTATGATGATAAATAACTTCAACCTATTTCCACACGGAGTATTATAAAGGATGCAATATTTAGTTAGGCCTTTCAGAGATGGAAGAGAAGGTGTTGGGTGTAGAATATTCCTCCAGTAGCATTTAGGTGAATAGTACAGAGGGATAAATGATAGTTTTGAAGGGAAAGAACATGGCTTTTTATACATATGAGGGATAGCCTCCTATTTTTAATGTCTTTTTGGTGCACCGATAGGTTCCATTTTGTATGGAAGGTTGGGTGTGTCTGTCATAGAGTATCATATCCATCTATAGAACGTCTTTTTTTTTCCTTATAAAAAAAAGTTGTAACTTTATTGGTATAAGAATTCAAAGGGACGAAGCAGTTCCTCGAAAAAGGGATGACGAGGCCGTCTCAGAGAAGGAAAGACCCTTTTGAAAAAGAATTCACAGGGATGAGGTTATAAGGCACAATGTTAGTTAGTACCTAGGTACCCCTTATATTGCAAAGTGGACTAGAGCCACAATGGATGCCAACTTAAACCCCTGATACTCATCTAGTATGCTTGAACAAAGGCTAGTGAAATGCAACTATGGGATGCAGTCATATTATTCCTAGCCTGTATTTGGAATGGAACAAAGATAGTAAAAAATGACCAATATTTCCAAAACCATAACCCCGTAGTGATGCCTAATATAAGAAAAGGAAAGTGCTGTAAGTGATGGGGTCAGCAGGGAAGGCAAAGGAGGACAGTCCTTGAAGTCCTCCAGATATGCAGTTTAGGATCCAGTGGCTCATCTGTTCCACATGGCCCTTGTGCTAAGTTTCAACAGTCCCCATTTGTCATCAGTCCATGTTAGTTGATCCATAAATATAGCAGTCCAAATTTGTCAGAAGCTAATTGATCAACTCCATCAGCTAACCTGTCAAATCAGCACTCCACTTTTGTTACTCTTTGGTCTATGTTAGATAACCTCTCAAGTTAGCAGTCTATGTGGGAGGTGGCAAGTACCCAGTGGAATAGTCGAGGTTCAAGCCTCCCCCCCAAAAAAAGTTAGTGGTCTATCTGTCCTATATAGTAATAGTCCATATTAGCTGAAATTTCTAGTTAGTGCACTGTCCAACCAGTAGGTCCAGTACTTGACATCTTAGACTGGGTCGATCAATGCCATATCTTAAACATGTCAATGCCCAATCAGCATCATGTCATCACCAAATAATCAGTTAGTCAGGGCCATAGGTTGACAACATTGTGGTCCGCTGGCGACGTATTTGTTTTGGTCAACAACCTATAAATCAAACTGACATCATACATGTACTCAAGTTCAGTGGTGTTTCAAGGATTGCATTTAGTGCGATTGCCTAGTCATTCCAATGGCAATGCGAAGTGAAATTTTGTTTCCAGCATACGGTTTCAGTGACACTATTCTAATGATTGCCCCAACTTGATTTTCCAATTGTGTTGTAACTCAAGGTGTTTAACCACTTTGAGTTGGAGGAGGCATGGTGAAAGTCAAATGACTTCATTAACAACATGTGTAGATGAAAATGAAACAATATATATGAATAACGTGTCATGTTACGTCATAGCAATTAGGAATATTCTAATTATGAAACTTTAAGGATCTCTCTTGTATTTTGTTAATGAGAAAACCTTTTTTTCTATTTACTTCTCTTTTCATGGACATCATCTTTGATATTAGTGTCATGCTCAAGAATCCATAATTTTCATCAGCTTTCTGCTTTTTAAGCCTCTCAAATTAACTTCATTTTTGATACTGCATCTTTTGGTGCCACCCACCAGTACTTTTGGGACGTTTGGCTTAAGTTCTTAAAACTAAGCCTGTATAATCAGCATCACTTTTGATCCATCGTAGATCCTGAAGCTTCAGATTCACTTACCCCCCTTCCCCCTTTCCATGAGCCATAAAGATGTAAGATCCCGGGGACGATGGATTCAACTATACTCCTACTAAAATCTTACCAGCTTTAGTCCAAAACAGTTACTCTCTGTCCTGCATCACTGAGGTGGTGGTTGCCTGCTGTTAGATAACTCTCATCAGCATCAACCAAAATTTTACTTATCTATCAGTTTATGTTATCTGTGCAACCATGACCCATAAATTTGAATAATCTAGGTATTCATGATCGAGTGTTGAAGGATTGGCAAAACAAAGGATAGGAGTGAAAACTTCCAATACAGACCAATTAAACCTAATGTATAGAAACAGGATCACAATGCCATAAAACTGTAATAAGCATCAATGCAGAATTGAACTGTTGTAAGTTCACTGTGGGTGCAACCATTAAATGCAAGTGCGAAACTCTTTGGGTACTCATGATATAGCATTTAAGGATTGGATTTTTTAACTATTTGACATGTACAAATCATTAATGCAGCTGAACAGTAAGACAAGTGCAATTGAATGGACATAATTTATGTTGATGTTTTTCATGGTTAAGCTGTATGAAGCTACTTTTTGTTAAGACTTGAACCTTAAAAGGTTGTATATTGCAAATGCTCTTTAGCTATAATGAGGGAACAAATGATGTAGTTTTTTGAGGAATTATTATGGTGTATCCTGCCACTAGATAATTGAAGTGTAGTAAAAGAGACCCTGTAGCTCTACATAGGTAAGTTGCAATGGTATTTGGGGCAAAAGAGTACAGTAGCAGAGAGGAGTTTTAATCTAGATGGGAGTAAGGCTGGCCTAATCCCCTTTGGAATGAAGGTGGAACTTCCAGCTGAACATCATTTCTAGAAAATGAATCATTAGATAGATGCATTCATCCTGTAGAATTTCCCCAGATGTGGATTTTTTTTTACTAGTCGGTATTATAGAAACGTTTTCACCATGGTATTCTTCAGACTAGCTATTGCCTATTTGCGAGTATGTTGACTGAAATTATCAAAGATTTTCTATAGGATTTTGTTATTTCTCGGACTAGATACCTAAATTTCGTACCTTTGGTCTCCTTCATCTAATGCTTGACATCCCTTTCCTCCCAACATGTGTTTGACATGATTGTCAACTCTATAGAAATTACTCTAATTGTTAAAGGTCTTAGATATACACATGGCCGAGGGTCTGTCCGAAACAGCCTCCCTACCTTCCAAGGTAGGAGTAAGGTCTGCATACACTCTACCCTCCTAGACCCCACTTGTGGGATTACCGTGTATGTTGTTGTCGTTGTCTTAGTATACACATGCACAAGGAGCATGCATTCTATGATACTAATTACTTATATGTTAAGTTCCAGTAGCCTAAGAATTTATTTCGCTGCTTCAGGTAGCAATTCCAGTTGTTCCAACGATTAGAGTATTGGTGACATTCACTAAATTCGAAGAATTGCAGCCACTAGATGAGTTTGCAACTCCTCCTTCCAGCCCTACTGCTTCGGGCAGGGAGAGTCCATCAGGGGCACAGCCTTCAAGTTCGTCATGGTTTCAGTGGATAAAAGCCCCATATCAACGTCCTGGTTCTTCTACAGGCAGTCCAAGTAATAGGATCGAAAACATTCAAGATCCCTTTGTAGTCCCTCAAGATTACACATGGATATCAGCAGAAGCAAAGAGAAAGAAACTGCAGGAAAAGGATAAGGCAAAGAAAGGAAAGAGTAGGAAACAGTAGCTGAAGCACTTGATTCACATGAGAACATGTTACATTCTTCATTGACTGATCTTGTTTTAGTATTTTTCGAGATCTGAGTAAATTATTGTGGGTGGTATAAAAGTTAAAATTTGCGATTCTTCCAAATTCTTGTGATCAATGTGTGGAACAAATGTTTTTGTTTCAGGTGAATGTTCCCACAGTTGCATGATTTATTTCTGTTCCCTGTTGGCTTTGACGCACCAATGTATACTGAATTTTGACAAATATCAGCTTCAGTCTTTCATGTCTGAATTTTATGATGAAGCTATTATATATTGAATACTCTATAGTTTTGGCTATATTTTAAACAGTGCTCCTCCTCCAACTGGTTATTTTTGCACTTGTCTCTAATTTCCTGATGAAGAAGTGTATAAATAGCTGATTTCAAAAGGGAAAATGCATAAGTACCTCCAATCTATGCCCGAAATCTCAGAGATACGCTTATACTATACTAAGGTCCTATTACCTCCAAACTTATTTATAAATAATTTTCTACTCCTTTTCGGCTTACGTGGCACTATCTTCTGGGCTCAGCGCGTGTTGATAATTTTTTCAAGCTATCTGGTTGATAGTGCCACGTAGGCTGAAAAGGAGTAAAAAATTATTTATAAAATAAGTTCAGGGGTAATAGGACCTTAGTATAGTATAAGTGTCTCTGGGATTTCGGGCATAGATTGGGGGGTACTTGTGCATTTTCCCGATATCAAAACCCCCATTTAAACCATAATTGAAGCTTAAAGCATTGTAATTTTAGCCACTTTAAATCGACTTTAGGCGCATGGATCTGAAGTTTAGACATACGCGTCTGAAGTTTGGCTTGCTAAAGCTAACTTAGTAAGCCAAACTTCATACGATTTAGAAATAAGCAAACTTTCGACATTTAGACATATATGATTGAACTTTATGCACACAAATAGCTTCCTCCCTTTTCTTCTTCTAGTATATCAAACTAAAAGTAGATTATATAACTAGTCGTTCAAATCCAAATTCAAAACTCACTTCTGCATAACTAGCAATGAACACAAAAAAAAAATGTGGCTTCACTTTAAATAGTTCTATGTAAAAAAAATAGGCTACTTGTGTAAATATTTCCAATAAAATTAGGCCCAAAACTAAAATTGCCCAACTCTTAAGTCTCCAAAACGAGTGTTAAGGGAATTGCTTCTTTGCTTCTTCTCCACGTAGCAACATAGCAAGCATGAACAGGTATCGAATGTTCTTTGATCTATTTTTAAAAAAAAATTCTAAAAAAATTGAAATTATTACTTTAATTTTTCAATTTGCATTTCAGTTAGTTGAAAAATAGTAATATGAATTTGAAGTTACTAGGTGATTTTTTTTATTTTTTTTCTGAAATTTATGACTGTCAGAATATTAAAATGGGTATGTATGCGATTTTGTGTTATTGATTATGTATACTTTTAATTCTGTGTGTGTTCTTGAAATTATCAAAAAAAAAAAAATTATTCCATTTTTGTGTATTATTGTAAGGTATTTCCAAGTATGAGTTTTTGGCAGTGCTTTGGATTGGGGAAGTTTAATTTCAAGTTATTGAGTATGCAATTTGTGATTTTGTGGTTTTTTTCTTCTTAAGTGTGTTTGGTATGACACAAAATGTGTTAATCATGCAAAGTGATTTTGTTGTGTTTGGTTTCCTTGAAATTTTGGTTTATGGTTTCAATCAAAATGGTAAAAATGACTTCTTTGGCTTATCAAATGTTTTATGGTTTTTTCCTGGTGAGTGAAAAATATTTTTCCAAATAAATGTGTCAAAGATTAATAGTGCATAATAATATTAGCCAATTTTATAGTGTCTGATGATTTATTTAGTATAGATTGATAATAATGTCTACTGTTGTTTGGAGTAAGTGATCCGGTATTGAAAGTTATAGTTGTAAGGAATATGACCTCCGTCCATAAATGAGAGAAGGCATGTTCCCCCTTTGGTGGAAAATAATATTTTTTTGGTAATTATACACTAGAAAATGACTTTCGTTATACCATACCTACATTCTTACTGCCTTAGCTGATTTCTATACTTGAGAATTAATGAGTGTGATTCGGATTCAAATTAGGCCCCTGTGTGGTTTGTGCTTTGTTTTTTTTCACTAGTCATCTTCTTTTTTCTTCTTCCCGCAATACTGGATCACTTGGCAAAAAGTGTGCTTGGTTTCCTTAATGTATTTAATCTTGAACAGGGTTTTAGACTAGTTTTCTGTCGAATTCTTACTTCATGAATGGAAGTTAACTTTTATGATGATGAAGTGAAATTTTAGGGCATAGTTAAGGGACTATTTTGGGCATAAAGCTAATTGAATATCCACTGAATATTTGTTGACACTTACTTTTTGTTTTGTTTTCTTTCCGGGATAGTAATTTTGGTCAATTAGAAATTGGAGCTGCATAGTCTCGAATGTACAAAAGGAACTAAGATTTTTAAGAGTATAGTGATAACTAAAAGTAGAGTAAATTTGATGTTGAGAGGGAAGAAAATGTGACTGCATGATGCCTGTGTTTAGATAATAGATGTGTGCTTATTTATCTGAAAGGTGTCTTTGGTCTTTCTGGTTTGGAGTTCTGTACTTAGATGCAGATCTACAACTTGGAATTCCAGAGCTGATTTTTTGGCTAGTTATTTTCTTGCCCCACCCTGAAGAGATCAGTAGCGAAGAATTTCCACTTTCTCCCTTTGTAACTCGAACTCCTGACCTCCCAGGGATCTACCACTGGAGCAGCCTTCCATTGTCCGAGAGTCAGAGACAGACAATACAATTGACTGAATGCATTTGTCTTTCTTATGATTATGGCTGCATAACTACCTAGAAAATTGTGTAGATCTATTGGAAGAAAAACTTCATGTAGGAATAGGCAGATAGATTGCTTGGATATCCTAGTAACGTTGTTTGTTTTACCAGCAAGCTTTTGGTTCCTTTTGACGGAAATAACCTACCTGTGTACATTAGATAAACAGGAGATTGAGAATATACTCATCAAGAGGGCAGTGTTGTTTTATTAGTGTGTAGATTAACTCCAGTCTCATTTAAAATTGTGGTTGTGCATGTGGAAATTGTAACAGATACCATATAATATGTGCCGATAGTGAAGTATAAAATATTGTCATATTTGATTATTCCTTCTATCTTTAATTTCGTGACGATAATGTAATCTAATATATTCTTGCATTAGGCTTTCTGTTAGCAGAAGAATTGTGTCAAATATTCATGGATTCAGATCTGTTCAGAGGACTTTATGCAGTGATACAGGTGTTAAAAATCCCGATTTGGTCAGTGAAAAGGTATTATTCTAGTACTATCAATTTGAACATTTGTACATTCTGATCTCTTTTCTTTTTTATTTTTTGTATCAATTCCAGTCTTCACTTATATCTGCCTCTCTTTTAACTGCATAGAAGCCTTTGGAAAAGCCTGGATTAACAGATGACATACCGCAATATGATATTGCTATTGTTGGAGGTGGTATGGTTGGGATGGCTCTAGCGTGCTCCTTAGGTAAATATGTTTTGTTTAACCTTCTTAAATTGGAATTTTGATGCTTGAACAGTGGTAAAGGTGTCCTCTAAATTACTAGTTGAAACAAAGATGATTTAGAAATTCTTTTTGTTAGAAATTTCAGTCATCTGCTCGATTTGCACTTGGTACTCTGTTTTTCCTTGAAAAGCTTATCCCTGGTAGTGACTACCTGCAATGATAATCAGCCTGTGGAAAATAGTTGAATACTAGTTTATAAAAGTTTATCAACCCTCTGGGAACAGCAGGACACTGTTGTATGCGAATCATTTGAATATATACTGTACCAAATTAAACTCGTCAACATGACAACTCTTCTTCTAACTTGTTGACTATTCTGCAGCAACTATGCCATTGACAAAGCAACTAAGTGTTGCTATCATTGACAGTAATCCTGCTTTGATGAATAACTTTCACATCAAGAAAGAGGACCCCCCAGATCCACGGGTCAGTACAGTCACACCTGCCACCATTTCTTTCTTCAAGGGTACGACTCGAACTTATTCTATTTTCTGATATTTCTATAGAGTTTTCTGTCTGTACTGATAATGGTTTGATCTGTGTTTCTGCCATTACATTAACTGGTTGCATCTAAAGAGAAGTTTTTTTTTTTCCTATGCTGAAAATGTATGATAAAATCATTGTATTGGTAAAGCCATTGAAAAACAGTCAGAAAAAGATGAAAGACCTGTTGAAAGTTTATTACTTTTTGAATCAAAAGGACATTATATGATGTATTCTGTACGTACCAGTAGTTGTTACTTTCTGCTTGAACATGTTTGATTTGCTGAAAACATCATCACCTGTTAATGGAAAGCATGTGAGATTATCATGAGAAAACGTTTGGTTTACAGATATGGGTGCATGGGAATTTGTTCAGCAGCACCGTCATGCTTACTTCGATAAAATGCAGGTAATTTTGCTAATTACATTTTCATTCTTGTAAGTTTTCTTATGGAGTAATTTAAGCCCATCCTCTGTTGAGAATATAATTACTATAAATGCCAATATTGGGGGACATAGTTAAAAGAATAAGTTTAACGGGGTACGTAGTGTTGAATGCCCAGTTTAACTCTCTACAATCATTGTCTTTATCATGTGCGTTGGGAAAAGGTTCAATTTATTGCAAACTCTAACTATAGTTATTCCATATTATGTGTTCCTCAAACTCTTCTCTTTGGAGTACTGTAATTTATGTCCACGGATGCTTGCATATCTGAAATCTATTAAAGCACAAGGAGAATGTCTTACCATACTGGGCTTTTAGACATCTTGTCTTTTGCCAAATAAATTTCAATCAATGTGAACCTAGTAGCAAATTTTTCAATGTGTACAAGTTGTAGTGACTACTTTCTCAAATTATAGCAAGTAAGATTTAAGTATTTATGTTTACTGTTCAGTGTGATATCTTGCCTTTAGCAATGTAGAAGAAAGGAACTCCTTCCTGGCAAGGAGGAAGAGAGTTTGATCACGAAGGAGACTTAGCTCTGTGCAATGGGACTTAGCCTTTAGACATCTTGTTTTTTTAAGTTACCAGTTTCAAAAAAAAAAATGGGACTGAAGGGTCTCTAAAAATATTTATCAGTGACCAAGAGTAGTATACCTATTCTCCAGCCCCTCTCCAATTAAAAAGAAGGGGAAACGTG